CAGCTCCCATTCAGACATGACTGGAGGTTATTTATACACATAATCAGGATCTAATCTGGATTCAATTTGTCTGGTTAATACATAGAGCACATTTTGATACTACAGAGTTACAAAAACAAACACAAATGCTTACATGAATGTCTCAGCTCTGGACACCAAGGTACAGTACTGATACTCCATAGTCTCCATTTTGCTGTATTTTCTTACTGCCCTCAGTCTTATTTTAACTGACGTGAGTTTCAAGACCCCGGTTCCAAACCATTATTGCTGAGCCTTAACTTTGGATGTTTCAATGTTAATACTCCACAGTATCCATTTTGCTGAATTGCGCCCACAGTCTCCTGGAGACTGCAAAAAAACTGTGACTCCTGCGATACAAGAGACGCCCTTCGGAAAAGTGTCAAATACAAGACGACCTTGTTCTCTGTCGTTGCCGCTGTTTGCTAGCATGCTTTCGACTGATGCGTTCAATGCAGTGTGCGGTTTTCAGTTTTTTTTATTGTTCTTCGCTCTTCACTGAGTACATTGCATTAAATCCAAAACACGCTCTTCTAATCGAAGGTTTATTTTGTGATTTCACAAATGGCTGTAGTCTTTAGCGAGAGAGCCACTAAATGATTTTTTTTTTCTCTGTGCAGGCCCCAAATGGTCTTACATAACGGCCCTTACTGAGGTAAAGACATGATGATGAAATCTCATCCCGGTTCCACAGCGGCTCGCAATGACATAACAGGAGATGCGAGGGGGGCCGGATCACGCAACCGCAGCGCACATGAGACCACAAGCCTCAGCGACTGCGTATGTGCTCAATGTATGTATGTAGGTGACATCGTTTACTTCACTATTGATCTACGGGCAGAGGTTTGGGCGGGAGGGGGGGGGGCACACATCCCAGGCTGCATTTCCACACAGGTACGGTATGGCGGGCTCCTCCTTGTCCTGCAATCCACCTCTGGCAGATCTTTTATTTAGCCCGCTGCAGCAAACGGCTCCTCCTCATAAATTATGCAGCTGCGGGCCCTCGGAACAAGCTCCGGGCCGACTCTACACCTTGTGTGTGGCTTAAAATATAGATAAAAGCCCAACAGCCGGCTACAAACATTCTTTTTTTTTTCTTCTCCTCAAAATCCAAGCAGGCTGGTGAGGACAGAGTCCGCGCTGCAATTAGGCACCGCAGAGTCGGTGGAGAATCCGTAGAGATGCATGCCAACTGATAGCAGGATCGGGATAAGGGTCAGAAACTACAACGCGGCAGAGTAACATCAACAACACATGTGCTTGTGATCCGTTGCGAAATGATGGGCGAGGAGTGTCGGTACTTTTCCTTTTTTTCTTTCACCACGCGCCGCGTGAAGACACTTCTTTACGTCAGCCAGATGAGCTTGAAGTGGACTCCCCCCCCGTGACGATTTCATAACAAAGCTTACGCAACCACAAGAACGTTTCGTGTGCCAGATGCGGTTATTTTCAGCCAAAAGATGAAAGAATTAGACCCAGTTGGTTTTGATAAAAGTGATGGCATGCGTAAAACAACATATGATGACGTGGTTACAATAGTTTTTTTTCAGCATTTCCGCTCAGCGTGATCTAAGAAGACCATTTTTGACCGGGAATATATTCTTCAAGTCTCAAAATGTATTGTTTTGGTCAGTGCCTTTTGACAACTTGTGCGCTACGCCATCAGACAGGCAGACACTTTCTATGTAAGCATTTGGCATCCCAGCAATAAAAAGCAAAGACCTGATCCTTTTCCACCCCAAAAAAAAAAAAAAACCCTCAAAAACTTGGTTCTCGTTCGGCGCCAGTGCTGTGCTAAGTTGGTGCTTAACAATATCTTACGAAGAACGTGTTTGGTTTTCCACTCAACCGCACCCAAACAACATCAGTGCTTGCATAGCAGAAGGACAAAAGGAAAGATTTGTTACTACGACCACCAAAAGATACATTTCCCATACCGGGAGTTGAACCCGGGCCACCTGGGTGAAAACCGGGAATCCTAACCACTAGACCATATGGGACTACTTTTCATGAACAAACCCCCCAAAAAAGCCTCTCCTTTGATAAGTTCAGTGCTCAAGCACGGTCCCACACCAAGAGTTCAATCCAGGTAAACTTGAAACCCTGAGCGCTGTACCCAGGGATCTCAGATAGCCTGCAGGCTATCTGAGGTCGCTCCACACATATGGGTTTCTCAAATGTCAAAAGAGTTACTATTATGATTTTTTAATTATCGGTGACACCCACAAAGAAAGTCGTACATTCACAGTTTTGATCATACTGTGCTGGATGTGCTTTAAAGAGCTTAATCTAGCCCGCATTGGTGAAAACAATGAATCCTATCCAGGAGGCCACAAGGACCTTCAGACCAAAGACCAACAGATGCTCCACTGATTGGGTGACAAGTTCAGTGCGAGCCATGCGATGCAAAGGACGCTGTTGAGAAAGCGACAAGAAAATACAATTCCTAGAACACAGAATTCCCATACACTAGTTGACTGGGTGAAAACCAGGATTCACGAGACTGCATCAGACTCCAAACCGATCTCTGTGAACACAGAAGCTTCAACAGCAGACGACGGGGATAGCTCAGTGCACTTATAAATTGTTTAAAGATAAATCCGTGCTACGCGGCGTTAGCGTGGCCGCGCTGATTATTTGAAGAGGAATCTCTGGCCGTGAATTCAATGGTGAATATGATATCATACAACAGCCCGGTTATGTATTCATGGTGCCATTAATGAATCATAGCTTCCCCCTCCTTGACTTTGTACTCCAGACATGCCCTCTTTAAATATGTCATAAGCGCTTATTCTTTTTTAATGGCCTGGCATAAGCCTCAGACAAAACAAATATGCAAACATGACGCAGCGTAAAGAGGAAGCCTTTGACACCGGGTTTGATCATGAGGTAACCGAGTAGGTACGATTGCCACGTGGTCAGTTTGGTGCGGTGACGGAACACAGAAATACTACCAGTACTTTTTTCTCTCTCTCTCTCTCTCTCTCTCTCTCTCTCTCTCTCTCTCTCTCTCTCTCTCTCTCTCTCTCTCTCTCTCTCTCTCTCTCTCTACTACTTCAGGTTCCATTATTTATACTTTATACCCGTCAGGCTCTTTAAGGCTCTTTTTGCAACACTTTGCGAGGCTGCAATATCACAGCGAGCAGAGACACCAGAGTTTCCATCATCAAACCTTTATTAACTGTACAGGCCATTTTAACTGTCTTATAAAGAGACTGTCACCTGGATCACAAAACTAAAAGGTAAATGTGCTCACGCCCGAGAGACACATAACGAATAACGCACAATGACTACAGTTGCCCTACCTCCATAAATAAAGGTTAAATAAATAAATTATGATGTGTGAATGACAATGATCGTTTTAGCGACATGCTATTTTAGCAAATGAGAATCCGCATGCTAAATTAATTGTGTAATAGTTTTGCTCTCAGGAGGGTGAGGGTTGGAAAAAGTGGGCCCCTAAAAACTGGGTCCCTGAAGCCAGTTTTAAGAAGGCCACGTGCCACAGGGAACTGGTTGAGAGTGACTCTACAGTGCAGGAGTTGCCTCATGGCAAGACATCAATCAAAAAAAAAAAAAAAAAAAGAAAACAGTCACAAGTCACTCTTTAACTCAGTAATCACCACCCAGAGTCCAGTTGGATAAATAATGCACGGTGATGACAAGGCGAGGATCTGACGGCTCTGTCGCTAATTATTGATTAGCGCCTCCAGATGACGAAGGTTAAATGTCAATCAGAGGATCTGAGCGGCGCAGAGAGAATACAATTTTCCCCTATGATCGCTGGATGTATTATTAAGTGTTGTGCTAAAAAGCCGCTTTGGTTTTTGGAAGCAGGAAGCGCCTTGGAGGGTGTAAACCATAAAGTGAATAAGGAAGCAAAAAACATTTTTAATGTTGCAACAAAATGGCGCCGGACAGGGATGACGGCCGAGCAGCATGTTCATGTCGCCGTCCAGCTGTCTTTCATCATCTTTGTCGAAGTCAAGTAATGTTTACCAACTGTTACAGATACCTCTCTTCTATCTGTCTCTTAAAGCTAACTATTGACCTAATTAACTTTATCTGTGTGCATATTTACATTGTGCGGTGCTAATTTGGTAAATTTCGCTTTTGACACAAATCTAATCTATGTGCCAGTTCATGCATGTGGGTGTTCTTTTTTTAATTTAATTTAATTTTTTACAAATGATTAACCAATCTTAAGTGTTGAAAATGGCTCGCTCTCTTTGACGAGGCAATGTTAATGGATGAACAAACGTTTTTGGGATCTCCTCAAATTGTGATGATTTTGGTGGTACTGTAGAAGGATTCTACTCAATGCAAGTGATAGTTAGCCAGCTAGTTAGGTAGCGTTTATAAATCTATGTATAATTCATCTTACTAGTCATCTACCAACCTTGTTTCTATCTACAAGTCCATATCGAAGCTAGCTAGACACTGACATTGATCATTCTACATATTTAAATAGGTAGATACCGTAGCTACTATCTCGCTATTTAGCTATCTATCTAGCTAGCTATATTTAGCTTTCAGGCTATGTAATCACAGCAGTGGTTGTTATGTATCATCCACACCTCTAGAGGGGCGTCAGAGAGTAATTTTGAGTGCAAACAAGTGTGTGGCAGCAACAAAGAGGAAGTATGGCAACTTGCCATACTGCTGGACCAGACTAAAAAAAAACAAACAAAAAAAAAACCTGCTGGACCAGACTGTAGCAGCAGGCTAACATGTTGTCAGCCTTGCTTAGATGCACTTTAGTGTCTGGATAACAACTGAAAGTAGACTGTGGCGCTCCAGTTTAAGTGTGAGATAGGTAGGTTTAGCATTAAGTGTGTTAGCCCATGATGTAGCTTAGCATGAACATGGTAACATAAGTTTGGTAACTAAGAAGGCGAGTGTTCTGATGCTTCAGCATTTAAGCGCTTATAAATTAAACAATGGCCCACTTTTATTTGGTGTGTTGCTTTTCAGGAAAAAAACAAACGCAGACAGGCAACATGTGGCGTTTCAAGAAGAGGACAGCCTTGGAGAGGCCTTGTCATTCCAACATCTGCTGCAGTGACAGGGGAACTGCTGGTGGAGCTGCTCTAAAGGCCCCTCAAGACCGGTCCAGGCGGTCAAAAAAAAAGCTCTGTATTCAGGCCTTCTGGGATGCCAGACAGCCATGAGGCACGCACGCACTCACACGCGGTGCCTCTCAGCATATCCTCAGTGTCCCTTTGAACCTGCGCAGATGTGCCAGCGGTTGACATGCCAGCAGCTTCACAATCCAGGAAATGCAGAACTTCATGTGACTGGACAAGGAAAACAGGTTAGCAGACTTCTTGTGTGTGCTGCAATAACTACGGTGCCGATGCGGGCTGATGACATCATGCTTTGAACCCAAACACTTCCACTATCTTATTGAAGCATAACACATAATTTTATTCATTACCAATGCTGTTAATGTACATTATTTGTTAATCACTGTACATTCAGTTAAAGAAAAAAAATATTTATTCTAATATGGCCCGCGGACATCTTTACAAACACTGAAATGGGAAAACGGTTCAAGCTGGTAATCAAGCCACGTCCCAGCTCCCACCCTCAACACTTTTCAATTTCCACTTCTGATTCCTGCCCTGCCGTAATTGGCCCGAGAGTGGCCTCCCGTCACCTGCAGCGTGGCGGTGCCGGTGGGTGAATTATTAATAGCTAATATCATTATGTAGGCTCGGCTTGTCATAACAATCCCGACTGGCGGAACGGGGGGAAACTCAATCTGCCGCTCTGCCCCTTGCGCAGACAATGCCGTTCAATTATTGATACCAACTAATTGGCGACAGGAATCACCAGGCAGGGTTACTTTTGTCCCCCCACCTCCCTCCTCTCTCCTTCTTTCGTGCTTCGCGCCACTCCTTCAATAAAACAATCTGACGAGGAGGCCGCCCCCTCCACGACGAACCCCCCGTGTCAGCAAATTAGCAGGGAGCGCGACCTTGCTGCCTTTTTTTCCTCTCTTTTCATGAGAATTGAAGACTTTCCTGCCACCTTTCTTCACCTTGACCACTTAATTAAATAAGAAGTCGATGTCGATTTTTTTTTCTTTATTCATGGCACGTGGCGAAACAGGTCTGATTGAGCAAAGGGTGGTGGAATTGTCTGGGGGTTAATAGAGTTTAATTAGGGTCAGGTTGACGGTACGCAGGGGTCCCGCTGTACACCTCATTAACACAATGTTCAATATCGGCTAGTGCAAGGACTTTTAAAACCCGCATTTAACCGTTTAGGAACAAATTCGACACTTGTCAAACTAGCGGGGGGCACTCTGGAGGGCGCAGACCACCGCCACACCATGTATGGAGACATTACTCAAAACTGGAGGTTATTGTTGGCAACCATAAAGCTCTAGATTGTCTTGTGATTTCATCACACCCTGCACAGATTCAAGACACCTGCCGGGTGGAGCAAAGCAGCCCCAGAGTAGGTGATTGAAGTTAAAATTGTCAGTACACCGAAAAGCCCACAGTGGTCACCAAAATAACTTAACCCTTGATTTAAGTAAGGTGTTTATTTTCTGGGTCTTTTTGCTGCCTCCGGCACAGGGCCAACTATCCGCATGAATTAAAGTCACGCTGGCCGGCTGTATATTCAAGTGAGCCTTAAGTGGCGCCTTTTTAATGTTGCAGGTGGTGTGCTGTGCTTATGGCCTATACAGTATAGTGCCACTCTGGTCCTGGCGTACAAAGTCCAACAACCCCCCCACCCCCACTCCTTCCCATTAAAGCCCGTCGTCTCTTACGGTCTCACACACACACACGCACGCGCACACACACACGCACACACACGCTAAGTGGGCCTACCATCTTGCTCGCTCCATCTCAAGGCCCTTTCCACATGGGTGGGGTCCAAATGGGCGATGATGCTGAATCACATGCTAATGCTAATGTATACGGCCGCCGCCCGGCCTCAGCGGAATAGCCGTGTCCTGATCTAAGAAGCTCCCGAGCCCTAATCTGCTTTTTAGGGCCCCGCTGCAAACGCGCATCTGCATAATCGGGGCGACAAGTGTGGAGAGGGGGAAAGTGCAGTGGAGGGAGGTAGAATAGAGGAAGTCGTGGCGGGAAAGGTGTTGCGAGTTGGAATCGTCATCATACGTGATGTCATCATGACAGAATGGAAGATTTAATCTCGTGTGAGTCTACCGTTTGAGACCTTTTATGAGACAAATAATAGTTTGAAGTGCATTTTATCAATGAATTCCAAATCATATTATCCATAATGATCACCACATTATAAATAATGATTACTAGCATTAGCAATACCATTGTCATTATTTTACAATCAATATTTTCAGTAAGGTTGGCAGGGTTTTTATATATATATATATATATATATAGTAATTTGAATTACATTTACATATCAGGAAATGTAACATTTACTTTTCTGGTTTTGCATGCCTATGTGCATGTGTTTGGGCGTTTGCATGTCAAACATCAGCCGGCACGCCAACCCCTTGTCGTATTGATCAGTCAAAGCAGCCTCGTCTGCGCTATATCCCAGATAAATGGGAAATTAAAGCGCACTGTCACACAATTCTGCACTGCAACCGCATCAATAATTCAACCTTAAGCGCACGCGGGTGCACACACACTCACAAACACAAAGTACCCAACTTGAGAGGAAATGAAGAAGCGAAAATTTGACATTAATGCACATGGACATGTAAAAAAAGAGAGACTCTGTGACATATTTACAACACCCCGTTTCCCCTGTGAATAAATGGCTCTCCAGCAAGTAGACAGAGCCGAACAGAGCAGGAAGCCATGGAGAGACGGCTGGTTTTACGTACAAGTGCATGTTTGTGTTTCAGGGAAAACAACAACAACAAAGGCTGATGTAAAGGTACATGAGTAAATGTAAAAAACACCGACAAACTGAATCATATAAAAGAAAAAAAAATACTGTCAATTCTGAACAATTCTTTTTACAATTTAAATGTCATCAGGTTTTTTTTTCTTTTTTTTTTTGCGTGGCATTTCATCATCCGCCCAATTTGTATGCGGGACATGTTTGCGCGTTTTTGTCAGAGGAAAATGAGTATTCAAATACATCACAGATACCTGACAACGCTACTTAGCAACTAAAAATATCCTCATCATAGTTGTTTCCAACAAATTAAAAAGATCATTTCAAAAGTCGGCCCCAAAAGTCATCCCTGCCCCCTCCCTAATATCGAAACATACTCTTCTGAAAGCTAGATAGCGATTCAACAGGAAGTCATAAAGCGACTAATTTCTTTCTTTACACACGAAAATACTTTATGCCCCCGCCCCCTTTTTTTTTTTTTGCGAGCTTCAACTTTGCCCCCCACCCCGCGCAAGTACCCCTCTGCCAGGCTTCAGGCTTCTGGCATCACAGGCGAAGCTCCATGTGATCAATAATGGATGCGGCTGTCTCCTGCACTGCTGCTACATTAGCTAGTGCAGGGGGCTACATTTAACTTGATGGGCTTGTTAATGTGTTCCGTTGGGGGTATGCCCCCCCCCTCCCTCGCAAATGCACACACGATGGATGACCCCCACTCATCCTATGTGGGCACATGCTGGGTTGAAGTTAGTGGGATGGATGGTCGAGTCCAAGGAACTTCTATTCATTCTGTGCCATAGTCGAGTTCGTTGTAGAAGGAAGTAGAATTAATTTCCCTGAAAGTCGGAAAAAAATGGGGTGTTTTTTTTTGGGGGGGGGCTATGGGGGGGTGAGGAAGGGCTACATCAATACAATACATTTGACTTGACTGTTGAAGCAATGTTTTTTTTTTTTGTCAGTGTATTAAAGAAGGCACAGTGGTCGACTGGTTAGCAAGCCGGCCTCACAGTGGAAAGGTGGAGGGGGTCAGATTCTGGCTTCCTGTGTGGAGTTTGCATGTTCTCCCCACGTGGGTTTTCTTCGGGTACTCCGGTTTCCTTCCACATTCCAAAAACATCATCCCCGATAGGTTGAACGCTCTAAATTGTCCCAAGGTGTGAGTGTGAGCGCGAATGGTTGTTTGTCTATGTGTGCTCTGCGATTGGCTGGCGACCAGTTCAGGGTGTACCCCACCTGCTGCCCGAAGACAGCTGGGATGGGCTCCAGCACGTTCCGCAACCTTTGTGAGGATAAGCGGATCAGAAAATGGATGCATGGATGGATAGTGAAGGCCCGATGTGAGCTCATGACAAGAAGTCGAGCAACAGGATCATTAGTACCGTTGCTTCTCTAGAGCGATGTAGGTCTTAGTTTGAAACCACCCCCCACCCCGCCCTCCATTACCAAGGTCTAGCGGTGCCCCCGAGGCGCCCCTCACCGTGGCTCCTTCTGCCACAGGGCTGCCACGGCTAAACGTCAAAAGCATCCGAGAATGGAAATGTATTTGTCTCGTCTGATCGCTTTATTCCGCGTCTTCATTGGCCGTAATGTTACGCCAAAAGCTCGGCGGGATCGACATTAATGCATAAAACGGATAGTCCCTAAAAACATATGTCAAGGTGATGCAATATGCATGCGCTTGTTAGGATGCATCATGTCTGCCGACGGCATGCGCCGAAAATATTGTGTGTGTGTGTGTGTGTGTGTGTGTGTGTGTGTGTGGGGCGGGGGGCTTGCCTATGTTTGATCCAATTTGCATGTTTCAAGCGCTTATTTGTTAAAATAAATCATAGTTATGAAAGCCTTATTTTTTTTTTGAAAAATGTGATAGCAATAAATTTACTTTTTTTTTTAACTAACACCCAGGATACAAAATAATACTGTATTTTCAAGAAAAAAAATCCTGATCTTAGGACAACACAGCCTATTTTAAAATCATTTGTCATCTCACAAGATCAGTAGTACTCTTTGTCAGAGATTTTCTCGGACAAAGTTAAAGAAACGACTCGGCACACAGGAAAATTGTCTTCAATATCGGCGGGAGGGGATCTCTGAGAGCGAACAACGGTAGTTGCTCCGATGATCACACTCTCGGCTCCCTCTCCGCCGGTTCGAACTTTTATTGCAAAATACAAGAAAGACACTGCCCCCGAGATTGGCATACCGCGCCCCCCGGTCCGGCCCCTCGGTAGTGATCTGATCTACCCGAATACACAAGTCACAGACTTTGCTGATGACAAATGTCCACCTGGGCGAGACAGCGGTTCCCAAACTGTCTTTTGGTATTCAACAACTCTTTGTTCCCAATTTGTTCATTCCCACTCTGTGATTGAATCTAGCCTTCTTCCATCTGTTCGCCCCCCTTGCTTTGACGTGATTACTCAAGAAAAGGCCCTCCGCCCAAACGGCCGACACCTCTGCGCTGAGTATGTCCAGACATGCCCAAATTAACCGAAACTTTCAACATGATACAATTTTGTTCATGTATTTCTCTATCACTCTTACAACAAAAAAACTGGAAAAAAAAGATAAAAATCAAAATCCATCTCCAGTTCAACACAAAAAAAGCCAAAGAAAAAGCAAAAGAGTCTCGCTCGGCTACGGCGAGGTCCGACGTCGGCGACGTTGGACTTTCGGCGGCAGCCGTTATTCCGCAGCTCTGCTCTGAAACATGCAAATATATTCCTGCGGCGCTCGTTTCCCGTGTTTGCCGCCTCATTGTCGGTCTTCTCGTTTGCATTTGAAGCGCCAGGTGAGCGGCAGAGAAGCACGGGATCGAGACCCCCTCGAGTGGAGCCGCATGCATAGTGAGGGCGGGGGACCAACAGGAGCCCTAATTGACGGCCCTTTAAAATTCCCACAGAGGAGCCGCGCTGCGCTTCATGCGGAGGCCGCGCCGTTCCAGAAGAGTGACGAATGACAAGGAGGTGAGGGGCACACTCCACACTTGCTGTACACGCGGGATCATTAGCACAAGAACAAAGAAACTTTTTTTTTCCCCCCTTCTTTTTTTTGTCTGATCCACACTTACACTTATGGTCGATACAGTAGCTTACTATTGCTAATGCTAGTTTTGCCATAACAAATTTTCTGAGCAAAACAATGCTTGGAAAAAAAAACCAAGACTCTTTTTCTTTCAACTTTTTGTGTTGATATTTTATCAGGAAGATGTTTCATCTTTCATCATCATCAGCAATAAGATTCCAGTTTTAACAGCAACAACAAAAAACAAAAAACACAAGCCTATTTTCTAAAAACAATGACTCTGGCTTTTCAAATACAATTTTTTTTCTTCCTCCACACTCTTGAAAAAAGATTTTCTTGTTCTGCAGTTTTTTTTTTTTTTTGTTTGAAAGTGTTCCTCAAGACTTTTCTATTAAAAAAAAGTTGCGGTATACCCCCCCACAAAAAAACACACAAAAAACAGGAATATTTCTTTAAAAAAATATGACTTCACTTTTAAAACAAAACTTTTTTTTCCTCCTAAGATGACCTTTTCCTTTTATTCCAAAGAAAAAAAAAAGGCCAAAGAAAAAAAAAAGGCCTCTCTCCCCCAAAATGAAACTGAAAATAAAGCAACAGCAACACATTCTCCAACCACCTCCCCTTCCCTCCTCCCCCAACCCGGTGGTTCCTGACACACTTTTACAAATCCTAATCTCCCTCGTGATCACGAACTGGGTGTACAAAATGAACCTTGAGCTATACGCTAACTCGTGAAATCAGTTGAACATTATTGATGGACTCTTATTTCTTTTATTTATTTATTTCTATAATGACTGATGATAATATTCTGGGGGGGGGGGGGGGGCAA